TTGACAGAGAAATCACACTGATTTTAGACTGTCGTCGCCAGATACAATCACAGAGCCCCCCTCATGTAATGGCTGCCGAGAGGCTGCGAGATAATGCTGACACGCAATTTTCACGTTGCCAGGACAGAGAAGACATGAGATGTTGGTGACGACTTTGAACAATGACTAGACAAATCATACTTTTATGGGATGCAGATGCTTCCAAATAATGACCTCGACGGAGAACCGTGCTATGTACTACGCTGTCGTTTCTGCTGCAAGACAAGGGCGATTTTCCTCATACCACCTTCCCAGATGCAATAATACGTGGGGACTCGGATCCTTCGGTGTAGATAACAAAGTGGCTTTGGTCAAAGCAAAATCTCATTGAATTGACATCTACGTGAACTAATTATCGTCAACGATGAGGGACTCGGAAATCTTCCCAGTGATGCACACCAAAAGGTCTGAAACTTGTCCCATCACAGTGGTTGTTGGGCACACGAACTTGAAGTTGAGATAATACAAATCAAAGGCTTCCACCTTTGATTTGTGACGCATATCCACAATGATGAAACTCTTTTGTATTTTATTGCTCGCATTGAGTACTTATACCGAGAATTCGCGTACTTCCCTCTCACAGGAGCATTGTGCATGCTGAGTCTTCATTTGTACCAGCACGAGGCACTTCACAACTGTCTCTGCATTTCAAGAACACAGAGTTTGGAGCTATTTCTTCTTCTGCTAGAGTATAATCGGTCCCCAGCCACTGGTACTTGAAAGCTGCGAGCTTGTTACTTAATTCAGGTACTCTTTGAAGAGCTTGTTGTCTATTCAGACCCTTCACGCAGACCAGTGGCAATCGTGTATAGGGTAGCCCCGACAATTCCGACCACATAAGTTGGACTTTGAGAGAACTCTTTCTTGAAACGAACATTTTCCTGCAGCTTGCAAATTCGAATAGAATTCCAACACATTGTACACCACCAGCCTGAAGTGGGAAGGACAGATTGTTTTCTAGCCGCTTCATGATTTACTAGCGATTAATAAAGTTCATGGTTGCCATTGCTTGAAATGAAATAAATCCAAATAGTAGAAGTTTTGTTAATGCACGGCGCCTGAACTGATAGTGCGGAATGGATTATATGTTCAGGTGAGGTACGTACCATGGCTGTATGAGTCGCGGACTCCCGTCGACTGGCTTCTCAACCTCTCGATCATCTGCAATTTCAACGCAGCTGTCAAGATGGGGGAACGTCCGATGCAGAAGGAAAGCTGGGGAAGAAGCAGTGCAAGCTTGGGCGTCACGGCCGCGGTTCGAAAGCTCCTCTGGGCTTCCTTCATGTGCTCGATCGTCCTAGTCCTGCAGAATCTAGCGCAGCCGGCTACTGCGGATCCGGTCCTGGCCTCGAGCGTGGGCTTCTGCAAGCCCGTGCGGTTGGAGGCGACACAGGAGGAGAAAGACCGAAGCGTGCAGTGCTGCCTTCCGGCTCCACGGCGAACTCCCAAAAGGTTCCAATTGCCCCGCGTGCACCATCTGCGCGTGCGCAGGCCTGCGCACGAGCTGGCCAACGATGTGGAGTACGTGAACAAGTATAACCTGGCTTACGAGAGAATGAACGCGCTTCCCGCTGACGACCCCAGGAGCTTTCTCAGACAATGGCACACTCACTGCTCCTTCTGCAAAGAGGCTTACCTTCAGAGAAGGCTGAATAACTCGGCCACAGGATATCCCCTCCAACTGCACTACAGCTGGACCTTCCTCCCATGGCACAGGATGCTGATCTACTTCCACGAGAAGATTCTGGGCAGTCTCATCGACGACCCCGACTTCACTCTCCCGTTCTGGAACTGGGACAACCAGCTGGACGCCACCGCGGGCCAAATTCCTCAGATTTTCCTGCCTTACCAGCAGTCCACTAGATGGCCTCGACAGCACGGACGCCATGGAAAGATCAGGAACACGTTCCTGTACGAGGGCAAACGCCGCAACCCCAACCACATGCCCCCGAAGGTTCTTCCGCTCACCTTCGATGCATCGCTCGAGAAGGAGCGGGCAAATTGGACTCACGACCAAATCAGGCACGCCAACCTGGGCCAGGTTTACGAGATGGTGTACAACAAGGTGAGCGCCCGAGAGTACATGGGAGGACCGTACGACACCAGCTCCAACTTCACGGAGGCCGTGAACGTCACCGTCGGAGAGTCCGGCGGCTCCGAATCGCTGCACAACACTGCTCACGAATGGGTGGGCATGCTCAACAACACGGCCTATCCCGACAACGAGGACATGGGCGTGTTCACGTACGCAGGGCGCGACCCGATCTTCTACTCGCACCACGCCAACGTCGACCGTCTGTGGAATGTCTGGAAAGCTCTTCCGGACAAGATCACTCCCGACGGGCACCGGGTCCGCAGGGACTACGACGATTACGACTTCCTGGAGACGGAGTTCACATTCTACGACGAGAACGCAGACATGGTGATCGTCAAGGTGAAGGATACGCTGGACAGCCGCAAGCTGGGCTACACGTACCAGCCCATGGTCGACGCAGACAGCCTGTGGATCAACCACAAGCCCAACGGGACCAAGCCCAGCTACAAACGCAGCGACGTGAGGGTCAGCACCAGCAACGCCATCGCAAGGCGTCCCACGAGCTTCAAGCTCACGCGCCGGGCTCCCACCGCGGCCGATCTCCGAGGCACGCAGGCCCTGAACGTCAATCAGCTGAGCGAGGGCGTGGTGCTGGAGCACGTGCGCGTGCCCGAGCTCATGTATGTGCGCTTCGACGTTTTCCTCGACTCCCCCGCGGCCACGGCCGAGACGGACGAGGACGAGTCGGCCTACGTGGGCACCTTCACTCACCTCCCCAGCGGTGTGACGACCGTGACGGACCTGGGCCAGAAGATGGTGCACGTCGAGGACGACGACATGTACCGCACCCTCAACATTCGCTTCAGCACTTCTTTGGCCTTGAAGAGGCTGGGCGTCACCGACTGGAACACCGACATCACCGTGACTGTCGTGCCCAGGTTCAGACCTCATGGGTACGGCTGGAACATTAAGGCCCTCACCTTCGATTGTCTCAGACAAGAGTTCACATGAGCACAGTCATCACAGGATTCGCCTGCACGCATGCAAATGCTCGGGACTCTAATCCTTGTGGCGTGCGTCTGGTGATGGTGATGAGGCATCAGCTAGTCTGGACTCTTACCAGCCACTTCTCAATCATCTGGAATAAACCGCATTCCGGGCCGAATCATGACGCTCGACCTGCAGTTTCCGCAACTTCTTAGGCCATATGCAGGTCCGTCTCCCTAGCTAATAACCCAGTGTCTAATAACCCAGTGTCTGGTGATAAGACACGAGGTGTCGTCTTTATTCTCGGCCCATATATATATCTCCATGTCTTCTACTTTGATGAACATTTCACTAAACATCTCAGCGTCTATCACAACGATGACTTACCCTTGCAAAACACTCACTGAATGCTATTATCCACGCTTCACTTTCCCCTGTACACGAAAATTACACAGGATTGTTCGAAAGAGGATTTCAGCTGTTGCCTCATGGAAATGAAGTCAGGCCTGCTTCAGTTGACATTCTTATATCGCTGCCCGGGAGGGTCTACCCTCTTTAGATATTTGGACGTGAGAGCACAGTTTGTCGTTATATTCTTCTAGGCTGCATCAGAAGAATTCAGCCTAGAAGAATATAACGACAAATTTCATATCTAAATTATCTCCCAATTCAGTGAGCGGTACTCCTGTTTGCTTTGTCTCATGTGCATTAGGCCTCTCATCACCTTTGACTTCAGCTCAAACTTAGCAATCTTGATATCACCAATGATTTCCAAATGATCCATTCTGTGGGATGACATTCCTTTTAATTATCTGAAAAGTCAAGCGCACGACACTTGGTCATTTGAGCCCTTTTCAACTCACTCTGGGTATTCTTCACGATACATTGTTCCGGTTGTCTAGAATAATCGACGAATGCCTTTTTGTTCATTTTAGAAATGGGAGCTACAAAACACCTTAAAGCCGATGGATTACATTGAAGATAAACTTGCATGTGAAGAATGTTTTATTGGTCAACATATGCGTCATATATGGCGGACCGGGGCAAATGAATATCTGCGTAAGAGATTACTTGTACTACTTGTACTAAAGCAGGAGGAAATATAATCATGCAGATAGAGCCACAAATTTTTCATCTTGTCCAATGCAAACAATGCTCTGACATATATGCATGGATATTTGAGAGATTAGACTTCACGATGGAGAGAACAGTATGTTCAGCATGAAATTGATCGTTTCATCTTAATCGAATGGAACACGTTATCCGTCAGAAATAAGTAGAAACAATGTACGTGAAAGTTTCAATCAGTTAAATCATAGCAATCTTGATATCCCCAATCATTTCCATTGTGTCGGATGACTGCAATTCATGTAACTGATCAGAATCGTCAAGCGCACGACACACAAGATCATTTGAGCATTCGAAAAGATTGGATCAGATTGCAAGCCAATTTTGAACAAACTTCAAATACTTTTTGTGACCAAATCTACTTTTGGTTGGTGAAATGTTATGATTTATATGGTCAACAATCACCAGTAATGACTGTTTACTTCCACTGTTCGTACTGATGCCTAGAAATACTTGCCTATGTTGTCACCAACAACTAAGGGAAGGATGCATTAGAGTCTGATCTGAGAGCACGCACTATCCATTCATATATAATAGTTTGGGGGTGTGAAAAAACAATTTTTTATGCGCGCGTTTACTGCAGTCTTTGAGGAATTTCCTTGTTGCTTTCTATAAGCCCTGTTTCGATCCATAGGCCACATGCACGCAGAATATTCGTTGTTAGCATAATGCTGATTTGGCGCTTAACTATTTCAAGATAGGTGGCATTGCAGTATCGAATCTGTCATCTAGCTTGACAAGGTAATTCAAAATTTCATAATCAGTTGAACAGTTTAGCCCTATGACTGTATCGACATTTCACGATCGCCAATGATGGTTCCAAATATCATACACCTTCAGTCATCCACGGATTCAGGGCAAGATAAGTAGGGCATGAGAAGCTCTCCATCTCAGGAGTTCATCCAGACTCAGTCCTGTCATTCTCTGCTGCTGCCATGGAGTCTCCTCTCCTTTTTTCGATGAAGACCTCAATCTGGACCGTTTTTCTTCTCTATTCGGTCGTAGTGTGTTGCGCTAGACCATATGAAAATAGTCTCAGTTCGGAAAAGCCTGATCTGGAAACATCGGAAGCGTCAGATATTGTCCTTTGGCGTTCACAAGAGAGTTCTCTTAAATCTTTCATAGCATCTGATGGCAGCAATGCAGCGGACTGCCAGAGTGGTTATGGTTTTCTTCCCTGCTCAAACATTCGGTCCGGAAGTGCCTTTTTATTGCTGGTCTACGGATTCATTATGTTCATGGCTGTTGAATTCCTAACGAAAGGAAGCCAGCTATTGTTGACCGTATTGGATCCTGGCTTTGTCGCGGGCATTGTTGTTCCTATTCTCAAGACACTGCCAGCTACTTTCCTTATCTTCGGTGAGTAAATGCTTGGGGGCTATCTTATTTCATAACCTCGCACTTCTATACTCGTTACAGGAATCCTGTAGTCATCTGTGATTTGAAAGCTAGAGAATATGAAAAATTGGCATACATGTCTCTTCAAGCTTCGATTTGGATACATTGCAAGCAGACTCCGAATCGCCTTTCTGGCCCTTCATCGATTGAAACGATAGCAAAGTTTATTCTTAAAGTCCCGCAAAGTCAGCTCATAGAATCGAAGGCAGGAAAGGTTGTGAAAATTTCTTCACAGTTGCAGGCGTATGAACTGCAGGTTGAGGTTTTTGGAAGTGAATGTTTGGCTTGTTCCTGAGTGAAATGTATGATGGGAGTTTTGACTCGATAGACATCGGGACAAGTGAAAACCTTTTGTCTAGTCGGAGCATCTTGGTATATCTACACCGACTTTAATCACTGTCTCTTCGAAGGAATCGAGTTAAAGCAGATGTTCTCTCTTGGATCGAGTTAAAGCAGATATTCTCTCCTGGATCGTGAGGTAGCCTCACGGATTTGTGGGTATTGTGCAGTTGCATTCTTGGCTGAAAATGAAGAGGATGCACATAGTAAAGCACTCGTGGGCATGGGTGTGCTGGCTGGAACAAGTATCGCTCTGCTCGGCATTGTGTGGGGAAGTTCCATAATTGTTGGCCGCTGTGACTTTGACTCCGATGGTGTAGCAAGGGACAAAACACTCACCCAAATCTGTGCTCTAAGAGGTAAGCTCACCACATTCCCTTCTAGCAAGACCTTTCTGACAATTATTGTATTCATAAAAACAGTAGTCTTCCCTGTTATCCAGCCGAAAGGCGCGCTCTGTCGTGCTGAATTGAAGTAATGCAGAAGTAGAATATTCCTGAAGTAAAATCTTGAAGATTTAGTTTCTTGAGTTTATTGCTTCTTCAATATACAATCAAATGTAGAAACCGTGGCAATGTTGAAAATCTAGGCTCTTGCAACTCTTGGTTTCAATGGATCTTCCTGTAGGTACTGAAATGTGGAGTGTTCAATCTTACAATGCAGAATCTGGAGTTACAACTGAGTCACGTACAAGACAGGCTGCATGGATCATGCTATTCACTGTATTACCGTACTTGGTCATACAGTTCCCTGTCATGCTGGGCAGGTCAGACAAATCAATTCATATTTCCGTGCTCGTAGCCGGCGTCTTGGCTCTGGTCACACTAGCAGGCTACTGCATCTATCAGGTATCTTCTGGAAGATGTAACCTTGTTGATTTGCATGCACCTGCATTGAGAACTGTGGTTAGCTATGTGTGTTTCGTTTGCGGGGAGAAGTGATAACTTCATCCCTGCGATCAGTAGGGAACAACTTAAGCTTCAATATATGAGACTTCCTCCTTGACAAGCTCATATTACTCTTGAATGTGCGACTTCAAGTCTGGTTCATGCAGGTTTGACTCAGTTCATTTGTATGTATGCATCAGATGCTCTGTCCGTGGATTCAAGCACGATTGATCTACAAAGCCCAACAGGCGTTTCATCGGTCCCATCATTTCGCTGAAGTGCCTTCTCCAAGTGAGGTCTCGTGGGTCTTGGCAGATGGAACTCCTGACAGGATTGTACTGGAAAAGTAAGATCCACCATTCCCTGCCTTACGCAAAGACATGTGTCAGTTTGTTCCGCAGTAAACATGAATCGGAGTGAAACAAGAATTAATGTGTGGCCAACTGCAATCAGTCAAGGTCAAACAGTTCATATAACATCTACGCAGACATTCTCCTCAAGTGAATGGAATCTAAAACGACGCGGAAGTTGGCAGATATGAAGTTCGATTCAGAAAATCGTTCTGGTATTTGAAGCTTCTGCGTAATCGAATGACTACTGTCTGGCAGAGCAAAGGATTGAGCCAGGCTCCTTAAGAAAGTTGTTGGGTTCAGTTTTATTGTGAGAAGTACTGAAAGAGAGTGGAAATTCGTTAAATACAGTCAGTTGAGACTGCCCACTTACATGTCTCCTATACGATGAGCGCAGATTGTTCAAAAAGCTAGATTCGGATGGGACCGACTATATCTCTATGAGCGAGTTGCGAGGATTGATCCTGGCGATGGGACTCGATAGCGAAGATGAAATTCCTGCGAAACAGGTGGTCATAGACGCAATTAAAACATTCGACGTCGAGAAGACTGGTAAAGTTTCTCGAGAAGATTTTGTGAAGGGTATGGATCACCTGATCCGAAGCCTCAAAGGAGACATCAGAAGGTCACACACATCTGCCGAAATCCCTGCTGCTCCGTACCAAGAGCCAACTATCGGAGAGCTCATTACAGGAACTAAGGTGTGTTCCTGGTGTTCCCATGCTAAAACTCTCGTGGATTCATTCACTCATTCATCCTATCGCAAACTGACTTTCAGATGGAAGTACAGAGAAGCAGCCCTGTCACCTTTCTACAAGGTGACAGGAATGCGAGACCTTGCAACCTCCAGTAAAGAAATGTGTCTGTACATAAATTCTAGCTGCTTACTTGTGCCGGTGAATAGGTGATCAAAACTGAGCTCTACTGACTGGGTGTGCTGTGTATATTGTGCTTGTCAGGAACTTGAATTGTCAATTGCAGCACTGCTCGCGGAAGTCCGAGAAGACGAAATACGGGAGATGCAGGCCACCATAACGCCGGAGATGGCCATCGTCTACGCCGTGCTTTGCATTATTGCTGGTGTAGCAGTGGCAGGATTCGCGGCAATTCCTACTGTTGGAGTTATAGGAGATTTCTCGAAAGCTTTCGGAGCTGATCCCTTTATCGTGTCCTTCGTGGCAGCTCCTCTGATCTTAAATCTCAGTGAAGGAATCAAAACCATCTCTTCTGCTGGCAAAAGAGGAAAGCTACACATAACCACGGTCTTCGCCGAGGTAAGTCGGTGGCATTGTTGATTTCGCAGTGGATGCAAGTTCCATGCATTCCAGTACCTTTCATGTCGATACATTTTAACATCTTGCTCTCCGTCCATTGCCTTGTCTTGTGGAAATAGACCTTCGGACGGCTGACGATGAACAACACGCTGTCACTGGCAATCTTCTTAGCCGTAGTTTACTTCAAGGGTCTAGCGTGGGAGTATCCTTCGGAAGTGCTGGCCATCCTGATTACATACGTGATCATCGGTCTCATCGCATCTGTGCGCACCAAATTTCCACTTTGGATCGGCATCCTGGCCATCATCCTCTATCCTTTGATGCTAGTGATACTGATCGGCTACAAGATCATCTGTGCGGCTCTTACTACTGGGATCGACTTGAAGTTTACAGTCTGGGAGGGAATCATTGCACTGCTCGTCTACCCTACGCTGATCTTCCTTCTGGTCGTCGCCTGCAGTGCTTGCCTACCAAGATTTTAGAACACCACTGGACCCATCAAACACTGCATCTCCGAGAAAATCAATTCCGCCTTTTACCGACTGCTGTCCGATATCTCCCTTCGTCACCACAATCATTCCCGAGCCACCATATAAGGACTCCACCGTGTTCTGACTGCTTTTCCTGCCACTCCATCATAGGCTTGCTCGGCCTCCATCCCTTCCCAGTCCACAGAAATTTGAAGAGTTAGAAGCTGATATCTGTCGGCACAGCTTCTGACTTCGGGTGTACCTGTAAGTGGACAGATGTTTATATTCTTCTACCATAGTTCAATTCTCTTGTCTGTCATCTTCCTGCCATGAAATAGAAGTCCTCCACAGTGTGTCCGTACGATGTACTTCATCATGTACATGTGCTACTTGTGCCACTTTTGCCTTCAAAAACCAGCACTTGTTATATTGAGAGGTTATGTAAACATTCATAAAAAATTTGAGCCGTGTATACGTGAATAAAAACTTGATCTTCCTTTAAATTGTAGTCATGTAATATTTCCCTCTCGGTTGTTGTGATTCTCTAGTTTCTGAAGGCGAGTCAACGTCAATTACAAGCATGTCAGACTTGCAAACGATTGGTAGATCAACTCCTGGGCTTCATGACATAACTTTCAATCCATGTACATAATATCAATTTCATGCGAGTAAATTGGCATTATGTTCCATTATCTAACATCACCTTACATATATTTGATACTTTTTTATACTTTTAGTCACTGAAACATGTAACATGTTGGTGATCTTAACATGTGACGATCGCCAACAGAACCCAATATTGTTGTTTCAGAGACAAAGTGGCAGCCACTAATCCTGAGCTGCGTGTGAGTAGGCCTGCGCACTAGCTGGCCAACGATGTGGAGTAAGTGAACAAATAAAACTTCGCATATGACGGCGCTCCTCGATGACGATCCCCGAAGCTTCCTCATACAATGACACACTCACTGCTCTTTCTGCGTGAAGCCTTTCGTGTCCAGATATTTCAATAGCACTGCTACATCACAGCTTCTCCAATTGCATCTCAGCTGGACGTTCCTCCCGTTGCACAGGATGCTGATCTACTTCTACGAGAGGATCCTTGGCAGTCTGATCGACGACCCTGAGTTCGTTCTCCGTTCTGGAACTGCGACAACCAGCTCGACCAAATTCCTCAAATTCTCCTCTAGTACAATCCACCGAATCCAGGAGTCATCAATCCTTTTCTTCACGATGGTAACTCAGAAATCCCAACCATCTGCTCCCGAAGGTTCTCCCACTCAACTTCAAACCAGCGGATGAGTTGGCGGGGTATATCTCGATCCCCCAGGAGGTCAAGGACTCCAACCTGAGCATACTATGGAGCATTGTTTACAATAAGCTGAGCGCTCTTATCTTTGTGAAGGCTTATATGATCGAGAGTGTCGTGCGCTTGACTACTGTGATCATTGAGGTGAATTGCATCTCATCCGACATAATAGACTCTTTGGAAATGATTGGACATATCAAGATTGCTATGTTTGTACTGATGTCAAAGGAAGTACTCGTATGTACATGTGTGACAAGACCAAGACATACATCCATCAATCCCATGGATTTCTCTTTCCTGCTGTTCGCCAGCTCAGCAAGATAGGCTGGATATTTTAGATACACCAGGCTCTCAATAGTTCTTACGGATCAAATTGCCACCCAGAGTACAAACCCTCCACCTCATCCAATATGCCCCTCACAATAGCCCGATATGTTTGCCAAAAATTGCATCACTTGGCCTAAGAGATTTTACTCTGTGGTGTTACGCAGATTCAATCCTGTCAAGAGCTGGAATAAAAAGGACCCTCGGCTCTCATTTGCTCAGTAGCTAATCTCGTAAACTCTCAGCGCACTTGTCTAGTAGGTGTCTGCAATCTCTGTGTTACATGATCGTACTATCTCTCAGCTCTTTAATACCCGACTTCGCGCAAGTATACTCATCGCGTTAATTAGTGCAATAGAAAGTCCAACCCTTAGCTTATTGTCAAGATGCATGTTTCGCGACTCAGGTAAAGTTAACCAGTATGAAAGTAGTTCAAGTGCACGGGTGACAATGACTAAATCTTTTCTTGAGGACCAAGTCATCCATCCATCAATCCCTTGGGTTTTTTGTTGGTGTTTCAAGATGGATTTTGTTAGCTAGCTCAGCAAGATAGGTTGGATCTAGCCAATACACTCGTACTGATGAGAGGATCCAAAATACAAACCCTCCACATCACTAATTATGTTTTTTTTAAATGACACTGTAACGGTTGTCTAAAGTTAAGCACTTGGCCGATAAGATTCTGCTCTATGTTAGTGACATGATTGGACTCTCTCTCTCAGTTCTTTAATGCCCCACTTTTTGCAAGTAGGAGTTGAGTCTGCATGACGCAGGTTTGTGGGAGCGGATTTGTTTGATTTGTCCAGTTGGAGGTACTAGGGACGTCGGCTTCAAGCAAGAAAGCGAGGAAGGAAAGTTCGCCACGGCAGTGGATGATATAGAAGAAAAATGCAATCCTGTCCTGTTATCAAACATCAAAGGAAAGGTTTCTAGTAGTACAACACAATCGAATGAATGCAAGCTCTCTTCTGATAGGAAGTTCATGAATGTAGAGAAGGGATGATGAACTTGGTGGGCTTTTACGATTGCTAAAACAAGTATTTCAAAGTGGCAGATACTCAAGTACTTATGTTTACTGATCAATCTAAAACCGCAAAGGTCATTGTGGTCGCGTTTAGAGGTATAGAGCCTTTCAACACGCTGGACTAGAGCACCGATATTGATCTTTCATCGTTTGAGTTGGAAGACACGGGAAGAATGCAGGTCGGATTTTGGGAAGCATTTGGTATTGGAAACCGTGAGAAGATTTGGGAGTTATCGAGTGGCACAAATGTAGCTCTACTGAAAGAGAAACACAGCGTAGAAAATCGCAAGGACAAGGATGACAAGGAACGCTGAAAGCCTTCTTTTGTTCATCAAGGAAGTTTCTCGGAGGTTTTTCCAGATCTGTGGATGATGACGGACTAGAATTGATTGTCAAGGAAGGAATTAAGGAGCTCTTCTGCAGGTCTTGCGGAAGGCAACTGTGTTCTTTGACAGCGTTAAGGAGGAGAGCTTGTCAGAGCCACCAAAACTAACATAAGTTGCCATTGGAAGATACTATCGGGAGAGGTTTCCGAAGGTAAGTTCAGGCATGAGGAGGTAGACGAGGCAGAGCCAGCGGAACTACAATGATTGTAAGGGACTTGTCTTATAAGTTAGCACCAATTACACTCTACTTGGTGTCTATTTACCTCGTCATGGAGCAGGTTCTACTAGAAGTGTGCTCTTTGAGATAGTATGCTATAACACTTCTCTACGTTAGAACTTATAGCCGATAGTTTTTAATTCGTCTCCGGAAAGGTAGATCTAGGTTAGACATACCGTCACTCCCTCTACATTCACTCCATTGAAGAAAGAGTAAATCCTTGTTGTCATCAAGATGTACCTTGGTCATTTCATCTCCTAATTAGATCAATCAAACATAAAAAACACTTCCAAGTAAAGCTTCAAAAAGAAAGATGAATGTATAGGTTACAATGAGTGAATCAAGTAACCTCCTTTGTCACACAACTGTTTCTTCTACCTTCTAGTGCTCCTACATGCTTTCAAACACCAACTCAATCTCATTACATTCTAATTTACACCTTTTGGTTGCAACGTAAGGAAAGTTTAAGAGAAAGTGAGATGATCAGTAAATGTTGGCATATTTCCGCATAAACTACTTTACCTTCATATGAAGAAAGATAATCTCAAACTACTTCTCCATCGAAAGTGGAAAATTCTACTAGACAATTGACGCGTCTACATTTCAAATTGTTGTCTGAATGAGCACTATGATGGCTTGGCATCAACACAAAATCAATCCACTTCACACAAAAACTTCTTCCGAACAAAAGTCTATCCGTATCTTCCCTTCAAGTTTCAAGGATAATGTTTTCATAATAAGACATTCAATCTACTATCTTATTCATTCTAATACAATCACCTGAAAATCACTTCTTACATGGTTTAAGGTCCACTTGCTAACTTGACTCTTCAAAATCTATTGCACCTAAAGAGATATAGACATTTGCGTTCCCACTTAGAATTAAGTAAATTCTTGCTTGCTTTGTCAACAGTCTGAGCATGAACATTTGGTCCTTACGAATAGTCACAATCACAATAAGGTTCTCAATTTTGTCGTAGATAACATGCTCAATTGTCTAAGTGTGTACAAGCATGTGGAGTTTGTCTTACTTCGTGTCTTCTTCTTTATACTGCAAGTACTTCTTGATGATTTCATCCCTCGGTTGCCTGATCTTTCCATTTGTTCTCCATGGGGCGTTTCAGATTACTATTTTCTTGAAAGTCACGTTTATTTGCAGGAGCCTGATCAAATCTCTGAAGTAATCTTTGAATAGTCCGTGAGATTCAATTCCAAAATAAAGACAAAGACAAGCTAGTGACATTTGTATTTTCAAGCATTGTAACAATTTTTAGTTAGTTAGAATTAAAGTAGAGGTTACTCAACATTGAATATGATAGATGATAGTGAAATATCTACATTGTTACATCAGCAATCCGTGTACTCATTGAGTGTGTTAGTTGGGATAAATATTTTGTTATACTAAATCGCAAAGCTAATTGAGAATATTTTGTCTACTTTTTTGGAATCTTGTGTGTTTTCCCATTTAAAGCCCAAAATACAACCTTCAAACATCATTTGATTATCAAGATGAATGTTGTATGCTTGAAAGTGTTATCGAAAGTGACATAAACTCCTCAAGTAGAGTACTTATGCATTATAATAGTTGGATTAGAGGATTAGATAACTGTTGTCAAAATATAATGAATCTGGATGAAGTTATTCTACTAGGATATACTGATTTGAGTTATGTTACTCTTCATAGATATACCTTCTCCGTTCAACTTCTTTCTTTGAACTTCATCCTTACCATGTTGAAGCCTTTGATTGAAATATTTTTGGAACATGTATGTTCACTTAAGTGTCTTCTTATGAAGTAATTTGGCAAATTAAAAAACATCATGGCTATTACTAAGTCAAGAGATTAGCTTATTATTACTAGATGATTATTATTACACTCATTTACTATATATCATTTTGTAACCTTCATATGTTAAAATGAACCTATATCCATCTTCTTGGATACCTCACCAGATAAAGGTTATCACAATATGAATATGCAAATGTCCTAATACCGAAATTATTTGCAGTTGCAAACAAAATCTTTGCCATGTATCTATTAAAAATTGTGTTAAACATTACATAATTTTCTGAACATGACTATGAAATTTCTACCTTAAATTTGTAAAAAATCAAAGTCAACATGCTTTCATGTTTTTACAGATAGCACTGATAACTATTTTTCGTTGAATAATAATCATGTGATAATTTCAATTTAGCTGATTCGATTGTTT